CCTTCTTTAACAAAGCCTTCTTTGCAATCACACCTATATCCATTAGGTAAGTCAAAACACACCCCATTCAAACAGACTCCCTGTATCTGACACTCATTTACTGTCTGTGTCAGAGCTGCTGTTGAAGCTACAAAACAAAATAATATCAAACAAATTAAATACAATCAAACATTCATACTACCCTGGTTTGTTGTTTTTTTGGTCTCCCTTAGCCCTAAAGATGAGATTTTTAGGTCCATACACAGTAGCATGACATAGGGCCCGTTTATACAACACACCAATATCCGCATTCTCAGCCCGCCAAAGTTATGTGTGTAGTATAAACGCCGTCGGATTGCGTGTAATTACATTACCATCTGGCAAAGAGGCTACTTGACGAACCGGCCAAATTTGGCCGGTTCGCGACCTTGCGAAGCCTACTTGGCACCCTCAGGCTATTGTTTGACCTCTCGTAAACACAGCGAGCGGTAATTAATCAACTGGATGGGGTGGCTCTAACAAGACAGTTTATTCGCTGCATTTTCAAGCGTTGCTGGATAGATTCCGAGAAATCAATAACTGATAAAAATGCTTACTGGTATCGCGGGGCGTTTGAAATATTACATAATAGCTGTCTCTTATACACATCTAGATGTGTATAAGAGACCATCTAGGGGTTATCTATATAGACATTGACATGAAAGGTCATACATACTTGAACCCTTCAGTGGGCAAGGGTCACAGATATCCCCCCAGCTGACCCCCTGTCTCTTATACACATCTAGATGTGTATAAGAGACAGATCTTTCTATGCCCCACAATGCAATACTTATGTAAAAAAAGTAAAATTATTTAAATTAATTAATTACAATAACTATCACAATTCTGATCTATCAATAATTGAATTATATTTTGGTATTTTTTCTTTTTAATTGTTTTTAAAATTTGTTCCTAATTGTTTCATTTCAGTACTTCATGTTCGATTACCAATTAAGTTCTGAATACATGTCTCTGAACTCTCAGAATATATTCAATATTTTGATCTGTAAGTCAAGGTCAGAATTTGAATTGTCAAATATAATCAAGGGCTGGAATCTGAACCTCTGGTTTTGAATGACTTGATAAATAGATAGCGCCCTCTACAGTATATTTCACTGTTTCCTAGGTCTGCATCGTTTCTTCTTATTTAACTTATATCCGTCGTTACAAATACAAGTATATGAGTTATTTCTGTTCACACATTGGCCATTTGGACAAAGATTCGTACTATGACTTTCACAGTAGCCTATCGATGCATCCCTAGACGGTGCACTTGTTGATACAGGATTTAGCGTTGGATTATCAGTTGCTGTAGGAAGCGTTGGAATATCAGTTGCTGTAGGAAGTTAGACATAAAAAATTATACCATCAAATATTCTGTATTATCAAAGTAGTTGTGCAGCTAATGGCTTGTTTATACTTCAACGATAACCATAAAAAAGCTAAAAAGCTATTGTTCATATAGAAAATAAAAGAAATAAGAAGTTTTTACGCTAGAACGATTCGATAACGATTTATTAGTTATGCTATAACAACATATTTTGACAAATCAAATCAGATGATGTCATAATCATGGAAAAACATTAAAATCATAGTAGTAGCAACAATTTTATCGTTTTTCCATGATTATGACGTCATCTGATTTGATTTGTTAAAATATTTTGTTATCGTATACATGATAAATTGTTATTGAATCGTCCTAGTGTAAAAACTATATAAGAACAATCGCTTTTTAGCTTTTTTATCGTTATTGTTGAAGTATAAACAGGCTTAATTCTGCTTTACCGATTTTCAGTGGGGTAGCTACGGGGAGCGTTCATCCCCTGTAAGAAGCTTACGCTTGAACGCCCCCTCTGGAAATGTGGTGAGAAAAAAATGAACACTTTTAAGTAGTTGAAAGTTACTCCTGAATCCTGATATTCAAAATGTATAACAGTATAACTAAAAATAATGTACATACTTGTATTTACTAATGGCGGAGCACTGTCCTTCTCAACGAGTCCTGTTAACCCGTAGAATTCTGCATAAGCATCCAATCCACTCGGGACTTGGCAAATGATATTATAACTAACTGCAAGACACAACAATCCCATATCATGTTAATGTCATTGTTCTAATTAAATTGATGGTGGAACCTAGCAAATCTACAGTTACATAGACTTGGAGGCATAAAGTGTGTGTTTACGCATGTGTATGAGGACGAAGGGTGCGTTCTGGCGAGTTTTTTGTGGAGTCTAACACGGTATCAATCCGGAAACGGCCATTTCCGGTCATCACCCGAATGGGTGGTATAATGCGGACTGTCTGCTGATATCTGCTGATAATTGAACGCTGCAAATTGCAGTGTTTTGGAGGAGCAAAAGTGGCATGCTTTAGCAGCAAGGAGCATTTTTTATCACTTAATCCCTTTTTGATTGCTCTTTTATTGTTTCAACACGCGCCAGAAGTAAAGTCTGTTTAAATTTTCATGGTCCCTTCTTCTTTTACAGTTTAATTCCAAAAACAAAACTGAAAAGCTCAATAAAATTAATTATTTCTACGGAGGGCTAACATAGAATCCAGATGGTGACGCAAGGGTCCAGGAAAACTTGATAAAGCCCTCATTTGCATAATACCTTAGGTCTTATGTCAGAGGTTAATGGTTTTTTGAAAGCTGAGTTCTGCACGAACCGGTAGACCACCCGCGGATACAATACAGGTAAGAACCCTATGTAAATTTTTCCTGTTCTCACCCGAACACACCCAAAGAGGTGGGGTATTTGATTTTATTATTTGTTTTAGGCCCAAAATATGTCACACAGAAAACTTTCCTAAACCAAACATACAGATAGGATGCTCTACAAAAACTAAGTCGCATTATGAGGCTTAGGCAGTGGAGTTGTTTCTGGTTGCCAGAAAGAAATCATGTTACTGAGACTCATCTAGGGGTTATCTATATAGACATTGACATGAAAGGTCATACATACTTGAACCCTTCAGTGGGCAAGGGTCACAGATATCCCCCCAGCTGACCCCACTCCCACAGCAACATTCTGTGTACGTCTGTGATGATCCCTGTGAATCTCGGCAGTTGGAAGATGACCAACAGGACCCTCGACGCTCCTCATGAGTGGAGCCACTCATACCAGGTCCACCTGGTTGACCAATAAATTCTGTAGTGTAAAAAATATGAATATTTATGAGTATATTAATTTTATCAATTGCAACATGTTAATATAAAGATATAATCAAGGATAAAATATTAATGATTTTTTTCACCCTCTCACTATGAATATTAATGAGTACATTAATATATTAATAGCAGGTCCACCTGGTTGGCAAGTAATTTCTGTAGTGTAACAAATATGAATAGTCATGAGTATATTAATTTTATTAATTGCAACATATTAATATAAAGATATAACCAAGAATAAAATATTAATGATTTTTTTCTCTATGAATATTAATGAGTACATTAATATATTAATGAATATTCATTTGCTGATGGTTATTGTTACAAATATAGGTATATCATCTAGGATAAAATGTTAGCCTTCATTTCCTGACAAATTTTCACAAGTATAATACAAATATTAATGACCTTCTCCTTACCTATACATCTTCGTTGTGTACTGTCTAATTGCAAAGGGGGTGTGCACTCACACCAGAATGTCCCAAGACCATTAACACACGTCCCAAACTGACAAATTTCCGCATTTTCGCACTCGTTCACATCTAGAAAAATATTTAATTATTATCATTCCATTTGATTCATAAAAAGAGACAATGTCTTCCTTTTCTGGCAAGAAGAGGAAGCCTAACCACAATGATAATTTAAAAATACTGATCTAAATGGAAATTTGTTGAGCAAGGTATTAAAATTCCCGGGTCTTCATGGAGAGAGTTTCTGTGGGCCAAATTGTGCTTTTGACCACAATATTAACGACTGACAATGAAAATATCGTTATCTGGACAGCTTGTCGTGGCGTCTGACGACAGAGTAGGTCATCATTCAATAATTTAAACCTTACCTTTACATTCGTCACCTTCTTTAACAAAGCCTTCTTTGCAATCACACCTATATCCATTAGGTAAGTCAAAACACACCCCATTCAAACAGACTCCCTGTATCTGACACTCATTTACTGTCTGTGTCAGAGCTGCTGTTGAAGCTACAAAACAAAATCATATCAAACAAATGAAATACAATCAAACATTCATACTATGTGTCTATGCACAGTAGCATGACATATGAGACCTTTTATGGGGTAGAAAGTTGTAGGATTAAGTTTTGTATAAGTATAATTTAAACTTGGCTTTAAATATTATTTTTCAGGCTTATTTTCATTACAATGTGAAGTATGCATTATATAAATATAAATTTATTATTATTATTATTTTATAACTACTCATTATATTTATATATATTATTCAACATAAAAATTGGTATACATTTGTTTTAATTCTACAGTTTTATTATTTGTTTAAACTGTCTGATATATATTATACATGATATATTTTCAATACATAATCATTACAATTATGTACATTCAACAGAAAATTTGGTATATTTTTGTTCTGATTCTACGATTTCATTATCGATACATAATTGTTAGAATGTCAACAAAAAAATTATGCAGTGAAAATTGATTGATTATTTTGACTTGCATTTACAAATATTTTCCGAGCTCTGGAAGGAGAAACCAGGAGGACATTCACAGGTAAAATCTCTAATTCCACGGACGACACATGTACCATTCCCACATATTTCCGGAAATAATGTACAGGAATGAAGATTTTCTGAAACAAAATGTTACAAAAAGCATCATCAATGGTTCAGCTATTTTATTTGTGACACCTGTATGAATAAAAATGTATGTTGCAAATAAGTTTGTTAACATTTTGAAGTGATGTGTGTTACAAAGATATTTTCTCAGGTGTTGGGTTGAGCTGGATCTTATAATAACAAGATAGAGTTCACCGCGATCTCTGCTTGCTAATTTTGTAACAACGCAGTGTAAGACGCCCCTTCCCGCAATTACATTTACTTTTGAACTTTGACGTCTATGATCTACATGCAAATTCTGGAACAAAAGCCATAGTAACAACTAGGATGGCCTCCCTCACTAACAATTACTTTTTATGCTTCATTTTACTAAACATTGATGCTTCTATTTGTTACTTGTAGAATCGCGATAAGCACTATTTTGTAATTATAAGATCTTTGTTGTATATTTATCTAGTTCACCTCAACTACAGTATAAGTATAAATCATTACAGGGTACTTCTCTTCACATGTTGGATGGTGTGTGTACATAATAGGCAAGAAAATTGCAAGCTTATATGTTTACCAAAACTGGTGGGTCTGTGAATTCAATCTATTGAACATATATAAGATTGGCAAAGTTAATATTTTGACTATTTGACTAAAATTGACTAGAACACAAGGAGCTTATGATTTGCTGAATTAAGGCAAGTTTACTGTAAATCTTTACCAAAATATGCAAGACTACGTATCTAGTCACAATTTTAAAATACTCTCAATTATGAACTTACTAACACATATCCTAGAGGTAATATCATATTCCTGATCCATAGGGCAGATGCAAGTTATAAGACCATCGGAGGCCGCACACGTAGCACCGGCACCACACGCATCTGGTATTTGTGTACACGCATCATATGGTTCTTCCTCTGTAAGATACACATTACAAAAATTAATTAGTAGTCTATGAGAGAGATACTTACCTGGATAAACAGACTAACTCCCACAACAAAAATAGAACTGTCCATCCATCCAAACACGCATATAGTACGTCCTCATTTCCTTTGTCTTCATACACAAAAACTGAATATTCTTCTCTGGGCTGATTCGGCTTATTCCAGCCATGAGCCTTACAATGGTGCGTCGCCCTTTCACTCACCCATTTAATTTTGAACTTTGACATCTCTAATCTACATGCAAGTTCAGGAACAAAAGCCATAGTAACAACTAGGACGCCCTCTCTCAATTACAATTACTTTTTAGGCTTCGTTATACTAAACACTGATGCTTCTATTTGTTGCTTGTACAAAATCATCATGGGTGAGTGTACTTAAAGTCTTATTTATGGGCTTTAGATCAGTATTTATTTGTCTTAACCATGTGTATTTTGGCCATCCTCTGTTTCCAATTGCTTTTCTCAGGTGTTTTCTTTTTAATTGAATATGCAATTATAGATTCCAAATATTTAATGACATACAAATCAAATACATTTATAAAAATGGTATAAGTAAATTTATTTAAATGTATTCATTGTTCTACAACTGCCAAGTTTAAGGGCTTTCCCAAAAACTGTTTAGTATTTTACTCAACATCTTCTCTGCTCGTTGTCTCAAGAGACACTTGAGTGTCAGTGTATACTGACTCACCTTTACAAACCTGATCATTGGTATCATAGAATGAGTACTCAGGACAAAGACAACGATGTCCATGTATAGTATCTTGACATGTGGCATTACCACCACATATACCTGGTACTTTATCACAAATACTAGCTCCTGAAAAAAAATAAATCAATAAATTGTTTAATAATAGTAATAATGAAAAGTTGCTTTGCATCGGTATCCATCTTGAAAGATGGTCATGGCGCATCAACAGTGCACTTCAAAAGCTTAAACTACCCAAAACTAAAATTTTTTAAATTTAATTTTAAAAAATAAGCAATGCGATGGTCAGTTATTTCAAATTGAGTACTGGCCCAGGTAACGAAAATAGCATCACACCACCCTGGGTGCACACAGGCACGGTACAACCCATCCTTTGGCAATATATCTTTCAACTCTACAGCCAACCCCTATTAAGGGGACAGGGACACTTTTTGAGTGTGCAAAATGGTCAAATCAATACAATTCCCCCTATTAAGGGGACACTTTTTTATTATATCAAAACAACTACAGTAGTCACAAAATAAGAAAAAAATTATTCAAATTTATATTTTCACATCTTTTGAGCAATCAACATCAAACCAGATTTTTTCCACCCTCAGAATGGGCATTGGATGCCTAGTGAATGTGTTACTTCGTATACATCTTGTCAATTTTGACCATTAACCATGGTGATTTCTTGTTTTATGTATTTTGGTATAGGATTCTAATCTATCCAAACAGCCTGCACCCTGATTTCTAAGTTGGTAACATCTATTAATAGTATTCTATCTTGTGCATCCTAGGAGGTTCAATATTTATAAAAAGAACATTTGGTCATTAACGTTGCACTCGAATACAGAAACAATATCGGGAACATACACATATTTTGTAGTTTTAATTACATATCTGTTAATTTCATATCTTAAATGACTTATTTTTTGCATTGCAAATTATTGTTATAAATTAGATATAATTATACTGTAACTCAATCTTAGGTCAATTAAAATAAAATTATAAAGAATCTTTGTCATCATTATACGAAAACATGCCAAAAACTTCAAAAGGGAGTAATTTCACATCTGGTTAGTGTCCCCTGAATAGGGTACCCCTATTTAGGAGACACCCCTATTAAGGGGACACTTTTTTTGGTCCCGAATGTGTTCCTTTAATAGGGGTTCTACTGTATAGCCACCTTCAATATCATCATTACAAATATCTTTCATATTACTGTACTGGTTTTAAAATCATAAACCACAATATCAAGCTCTCACTTATGCATGATTTGGTGTCATATTCAAAATCATATCCAATGTTACAGCGACACTGGTATCCATCAACCAGATCAACACAAGTTCCATTGCCACAAATCTCTGGATACAGAAAACACTCATTAGATGCTGAAAAAAAAGCAAAATGTTTTAGTAATACATTTGTTACTAAGAAAAAAATGAATTAGTTGGTGCGTTTATTGGCTATGACACTGTTCTAGAGGGTAGCACACTTATCTATAATATTATAATCTGTAATAATAGTATTTTTTTTTTTTTTATTTGTTTAATGATCAAATATGATTGGCTTTCAGGTATAACAGTTAGAGAATTACACTAGTTAGTATATTTGTAGGGTTGTATACAGCATATTTGTCCCAGCTGAGACTACATGGGGATCCATCATCATCTCTGAACTGGTGTCACTGGGATTTCTCCCCTACTACAAACTTATCTCCCTTTGGAGTTTGTATAGAGAATCAAACAGAGTGAGTGCAAACTTCACTTTTAGTACAGCGTAAGTGAGGAGTAGGCAAATACACTTGTGATGGAGGGCAAGGTCCCTCTGAAACCAAGCACAACTTTGAATGGAAAATATGCAGAAGTGATAATACATACATCGTGCATTATACGTTGTCAGGTAATTCATTATTTGCAAATTCTTATCACTGTGCTTCTGCCTGTTTGATTGACTTGCCACAAGTGAATCTCCGTCCATGTAAAGAACTCAAATTCTTCTCTGTATACATTTCTACAGTGGCATAACATATCTAGAATTTCTCAACACCAAAATAATTTTTAAAAGTGAAAATTATTTTGATGTAAAACTTACCGACACATACGTTGGAGATTGTGTCAAACTCGTAGTGTTCTGGGCATACACATACTATCTTTCCATTTTCGTCTAAGCAGGTGGCATTTCCGCATGTGTATGGATACAACTTGCACAGACCAATTCCTAGATCACACAAACAATAAAAAAGTACAGATATACATATTTTAGGCCCGAGGCTACTAACAAACATTAGGTGCTGTACAATGAATATACATGTATTGTATTAACCAATCATAAGAACATACGAGCTAATGGAAGAGATATTATATTTGTTTTTTGTTAAAATTCAACTTAAATAAGTTGATAACTTTCAAATATTCTTGAAACTGAAAATCAAACAAATGAATTTTTTCATATCAAATATATTTCACATCCACAAGCAAATAGTGCACTCACTATTTACTTGATGGAATGGTGCTCAATGCACTGTCTCTAAGGAATGGAGTTGTATTTTTGTGATGAGAAAAACCTTGATTTGAACCCAGGAGCCTTAGAATAGAAGGTGAGACAGGTGTGTTGTAGCCATTTTATTCATTCATTCAAACTTCATTTAAACTTGAGTAATAAAATATTTCCAGTACAATATAATATACTATTTCCTACCATAGGGGGAAACAATAACAATGGAAAGCGTTAGAAGTAACACCTTAAGGTGAAAACACTGCTGCTAAGGGGAAATTTTAATGACGTTAAGGAGAAATCTAGACAAAGGATTTTTCTCCCTATGTGTGAGTTAGTATGTTATATATATATATATATATATCTATATATAT